CTATCATGAAAAACAGGTAAACAAATCAGAAAATATAGTGTGCTTTAGATGCAGTGCAGCATCCTCTGAAAGATTTCTCAGAGGAGTTGCTATTGCTTTTCAAATCTTGATGGATGGAGTGGTGAGGGAGGGACATTTCAGGCCAAGAGAATGCTGTATGCATGAGTATGGAAACATTTGCATTCAAGAAACTGAAATACTTTAATACTGTGGCCTAGAATACATTCATATATGACAATAGTAGGAGAAAAGACAGTAATAAATTCAAATTATGAATGACCTTGAATGTCATGCCTGAAGAATTTGTTCTTTGGATACTGTGACATCATTAAAGAATTGTATGCCTGTCACTGACATGATTAGATTGTGTTTTAAATCCAGTCGGAAGGACTGGTTGGATATCTATTAGACCCAGTCCTGTGACTAAAAACAGGCAATGATTTAGTTTTTGTTTTTGGTGTTTTTTTTTGCTATATGTTTATAAGGAATTATACATATGAAAGAATATATTGAATATTAACTTACAGATAATGACATAACGAATAGTTAAGAACCCAGGCACCAGAATAGTATGTTACTTGTGTGTTCTCATTCCCTATGCCATTATCATTTCTCTCAACAATTATTCTCCTAATTATTTATCTTAATTTTTTAAAAAATTATTTATTTATTTATTTGAAAGGCAGAAAGAGACAGTCAGAGGTCTCCCATCCATTAGTTAACTCCTCAAATGCTCCCAGTAGTCCAGGGTAGACCAGACTGACCCAGGAACTGGGAACTCATTCCGGTTTTCCTATCTGGCTGCTAGGGACCCAGCTACTTGAGCCATCACCTGCTGCTTCTGAGGGTACACACCAAAAGGAAGCTGGAGTTGGAAGTGGAGCTGGAACTTAAATCTAGACACTCAGTTAAGGGATGCAAATATTCTAAGCTGTGTCCTAACTGCTAGGCCAAACACCTGTCCCTCTTTTACTTCTATAGATTCTAGCAGTACTATGTACATTATTTTTCATAAGCCATATATTATTTAGTTTTGCTTTATTTTCACCTGTAAGTTTTCTTGGGACTTGCTTCCTAAAGTTATCAAAATTTATTTGTATTGTCACATGACTATGGTTTTAGTTTATTCATTTTGACTGCCGTAAAACATCAGACTGGGAATATATGAGTTCATCTAGTCTCCTGTTGATGAGACACTTGGGTTATTTCTAGTTTTTGCTTCAAATAGTGCTACTACAAACATTCTCATGTGTGTGCAAGCTCCTCTAGCAAATGTATCTAGGAATCTAATTGCTGGGTTATTGAGTATGAATTTTCAGCTTTATAAGATAATGACAAATAGTTTTAAACAGGGTCTATAAAATTTTTTTTAATATTTATTTATTTATTTATTTGAAAGTCAGAGTTACACAGAGAGAGGAGAGGCAGAGAGAGAGAGAGGTCTTCCATCCGCTGGTTCACTCCCCAATTGGCCGCAACAGCCAGAACTGCGCAAATCCGAAGCCAGGAGCCAGGAGCTTCTTCTGGGTCTCCCACGCGGGAGCAGGGGCCCAAGGACTTGGGCCATCTTCTACTGCTTTCCCAGGCCACAGCAGAGAGCTGGATAGGATGTGCAGCAGCCGGGTCTCAAACCGGCGCTCATATGAGATGCTGGTACTTCAGGCCAGGGCGTTAACCTACTGTGCCACAGCACCGGCCCCAGGGTTTATAAATTTATACTGCCATTATTATTGTGTAAGACGTCCATCAGTCCATAATCCCTTTTACTTACTTGTCAAATGTCTAATTTGTTATCTAATATGTCTAATTTGTTATCTAACACATATAAAATGGTATCTCGTGTTTTTAATTTGTTTTTCTACTTATTAATTGGACTGAGCATCGTTTTGTTAATTTATTTGGTCATATACACATCCCATTCTGTGAAATACCTTTGCGCATTTTTCTAAGATTTTATGTAGCTGATTTGTAGGAATTCTTTATATATTCCAGAAATACAGATTGCTTTGAAAGTCTTCTTAGAGTTAGTGGCTCATCTTTTTAATTTCTTTATGATAAATTTTGAGAAAAATATTCATAAAATATATCAGTTTTTTAAAAGATTTTATTTATTTATTTGAGAGAGAGAGTTACAGAGAGAGGGAGAGACTCCCCAATTGGCTGCAACAGCTGGGGCTGAGCCAATCCAAAGCCAGGAACCAGGAGCTTCTTCTGGGCCGCCCGTGAGGGTGCAGGGGCCCAACCACTTGGGCCATTCTCCAGTACCTTCCCAGACCATAAGTAGAGAACTGTATTGGAAAAAGAGCAGCTAGGACACCCATATGGGATGTTGGTGCCGCAGGTGGAGGATTAGCCTACTACGCCACAGCACTGGGCCAGAATTTATCAGTTTATATGTTAAGTACTTTTTATGTTTTGTTTAAATTTACTTAAATATGCTAAGTTTCTACTAATTATTATTGGAAATTATTGATTTCTCATTTAATATCTGTTGTATTTCTTCCTTTCCAGTTCTTATAAATCTAATTAATGTATTCTTTATTACTATAAGAATTCCATTAAAATATTGAATGGAAGTTCTGTAGAGAACATCCTTCTCATGTTTCAGCCTGATAATCTATTTATTTTAAATGGCAAGTTTAATTTGTATTTGCTGTGAATATTGATATATTTTCTGTTTCTACCATCTTAATTTTATATCTATTTGGTTTTCTTTTTACCATTTTTTTCTTTCCATTGATTGAATTAACTTTTGTTTTGCTCCAGTTTTTAATATTCCTATTTCAATTCTTTTAGAGAAATACACATATGTCCCTTGATAAATTTCAGACCCAGAGATAGGCATTTGGCTTAGCAGTTAAGATGCCTATGTCCTGTGTCAGAGTGCCTGGGTTTGATTCCTATATTCTGGCTCCTGTATCCAGTTTTCTGCTAATACAGATCATAGGAGGCAGTAGTGATGGCTTACGTGAGATTGGGTTCCTAGCACCCAATGAGAGATCTGGGTTGAGTTTTTGGCTTTTAGTTTTGGTTTCAGCTGGGAGGCTGTTGAGGTATCTGGGAAGTGAACTGGCAGATGGAAGCTTGCTACCTCTCTCTCTCTGCCTCTTAAATTAAAACAAAAAATATTGAAAGGCAAACAATACTGTCTTTAACTTCTGCTTTAAACACTTTAGGGACTTTGTACACTTGAGCTTGTTGCAGCCTCCTCCTTATTGACAATGTTATCGTTAGTGTTCTTTTAACTGGGTTTTATTGGTGTGTTGTCTATTAATGTTTTTTACCCTTTCTTTGTATTATTCTGTTAGGCATGTAATTTTAGATAGCCAGCTATTTTTTTTTAAGATTTATTTATTTATTTGAAAGTCAGAGTTACACACAGAGAGAGAGAGAGAGAGAGAGAGGTCTTCCATCTGTTGATTCACTCCCCAATTGGCTGCAATGCCCAGAGCTGTGCCTATCCGAAGCCAGGAACCAGGAGCTTCTTCCAGGTTTCCCACACTAGTGCAGAGGCCCAAGGACTTGGGCCATCTTCTACTGCTTTCCCAGACCTTAGTAGAGAGCTGGATTGGAAGTGGAGCAGCCAGGACTCAACCAGCGCCCATATGGGTTGCTGGCACTGCAGGCAGCAGCTTTTACCCACTATGCCGCAGTGCCAGCCCCACTATTGTCTTTTGACATTTGGAAGACATTATTATGCCATCTTCAATATTCTATTATTGCTAATGAAACGTTTCCTATTATCCTACTTACCTTCCTTTACATATGATCTGTCCCTTCTCAATGGATATTTTTAAAATCTCTTTATTCTTAGTGCTTTGCAGTTATACTATTATATAAAGTATCTAGCCACTAATTTCTTTGTATTTATGCTATTTGAGATATATTATGTTTCATGTGTCTATATGGCTTTGCCTTTTAAAAAACAATTTCTGAAAAAGTCGGAGGTGTTATCTCTTTAAATGCTATCTTTATTCTTTTTTTTCTGTCCCCCACATATTCCTATTAGACCCTTGATTTTCCATATCTCTTAATATCATAACATATGTATTTATGTCTTACCACTGTTGGCTACATTTCTCTGATAGCTTTGGTGTAAATGTAGGGTATGACGATAGGAAGCAATTGACCACTCAGAGATTCCAAATTGGTCATTGGACCAATTTTGATGATGCTACCTTCTCCCCAACATTTCTCACTTTAAAAATAAAGTATGCTAAAATGTATAACAAATAGCTTTAATTTTAATTTAAGTGTCAGTATTGGTCAAAGGAGCTAATAGCATTCTGGGTATGTGTGTTGACAGCTGCTTTATAAGAGATGATAGTATTGTTAGTTCATTAACCATTTCCTCTTTACGTTTAGAAGTGTAAGATATTCTAGCTGTTTGTGTGTTTTGGGGCTCTACTGTATAGGTATGACAGAGCTAAAGATACAGCTCTAGTTCTATTAATGAAGATATAGCCTAAAAGTGATAATTTAAAAGTAAACTTTTACTAGTAGCATGGGCCATTTTATGAGCATTGGAATATTTTTGAAGTTACTGTATCAAGGAAATGAAACCCTTCTGAAAATTGGTGAGTTTAACCCTATCCTGGGTTAAAATTAAAAAAGATTCATAGAGGGTAAAAGAAATGAGTATCTTAAATGTTAATTATTTTTAATCCATTTCTATAAAATCTAAGATTTATATATTGTAAGTTATGTTTCATCTCTTATAAATCAGTGTCAACACAGAAACTCAGAATGCTCTTAGCTCCTTAGACCAGTGTTGAGTAATACATCATACTGTGTCTTAAATTCCTTCTGTTTATACCTTATGAATTTAAGAAAATACCCTGTTTGGAATTGAGAATGAAGAAAGTTATCTGTATTTCCTAAAATAACAAATTCTTTCAATAATTAAAAGAAGTTGTTATTATTGTTCCATGCCCTTTGCTTAAGAAGAAATATTTATATTTTTCTTTTTTTTTTCTTTTTCTTTCCTTTTTTTTTGGCAGGGTTGTTACAAGTTGAGTTGAAAACAAGAAAAACTTGCTTTTGGCGCCATCAAAAAGGAAAGCCAGACACTTTCCTTTCCACAATTGAAGCCATTTACTACTTTTTAGTAGACTACCACACTGATATATTAAAAGAGAAATACAAAGGACAATATGACAATCTTTTATTTTTCTACTCTTTTATGTACCAGCTGATAAAGAATGCCAAATGCTCTGGAGATAAAGAAACAAAAAAACTTATACATTAGTGTTTAATAAGCTACCTATGTCATTTTATTTTGCTAAAATCAATAAACTTATAGTTGTGCTTTGTTTATTCTTAAGAAAAATCATAAATAATGCCTATAAGACTACTTAAAAAGTACCGGTTTCATTCATTTTACCTTATGTTTTTTTTTTTTTTTTTTTTTTTTTTTTTTTTTTTTTTTTTTTGACAGGTAGAGTTATAGACAGTGAGAAAGAGAAACAGGTAGAAAGGTCTTCCCTCCGATGGTTCACTCCCCAAATGGCTGCCATGGCCGGAACTGCACTGTTCCAAAGCCAGGAGCCAGATGCCTCCTCCCAGTCTCCCATGTGGGTGCAGCGGCCCAAGCACCTGGGCCATCTTCCACTGCCCTCCTGGGCCACAGCAGAGAGCTGGATTGGAAGAGGAGCAGCCAGGACTAGAACCGGCGCCCACATGGGATGCCAGCACTGCAGGCGGAGGATTAACCAAGTGAGCCACGGCGCCAGCCCCTACCTTAAGTTTTTATAAAAGGAAATTATATCTAAGGGAATTTCTCATAGATAGTGTAGACTGAATAACTTATTTCAGAAGTTATTTGCTCAATTTTAGCACATTTCAGTTTATTACATTTTAATTATGTGTTGTATCTATGTAATTAGATATAACACATCTAATAAGAATCATTTCATATTTGTTTAGAGGTAATTGTGTCTTTTCACCTATACTCACCACCCCATTTAGGGATAAGTGGAATCAGAATCTTCTTGCTGAAAGAGAGTAATAATTGACTTCCTTGAGGTTAGTGACAAATATAGACAGAACTATAATTAGAGCTTCAGGGGTTAGGGCTGTTACTTTAAGTCTACACTGCCCGTGATGAACATTTGTTGACTTTTACATCTGCCTGATATTTTTTAAGGGGAAATTGCTAATAATTATGTTGCCAGGACAAGCACTGGGCACAGCCAGTTAAGCCCTAGTCTTTGATGACAGCATCCGTATCAGTGCCGATTCGAGTCTCTGCTACTCCATTTCTGATCCAGCTCCCTGCTAATGTGCCCGGGAAAGCAGAAAACGGTGGCCTAAATGTTTGGGCCCCTCCTATACATGTGGACAATCCAGATGGAATTCCAGGCTCCTGGTTTTGGCTTGAATCAGTCCTGGCTATTGCAACTGTTTGGGGAATGAACCAGAGGATGGAAGATCTGTCTATTTGTCTGTTTCTCTTTCTTTCTTTCACATAAGTAAATAACATCTTAAAAAGAGAGAAAGAGTTAGAAAAAAAAAACAAAACTGTGCCCTGCCATAGGAGTGGACCAATGACCCAGTGTAGCAAGATAAGTGCCCAGTACTTCCTAACCACAGTGATCGATTTGAGGATGAACACATGATCCCAGAGCACCAGCATCCTGTTTTATAAGTAGTATGGCTGCTGCAGGCAATGAGAGTTATTTGTAAAAGCACAGCCTCTGCAGCTAAACTGCCTGAACCTAAATCTCACCTCTCCCTTTTCTACTCACCAACCATATTACCAGTTTGTCCGTCTATAAAAGGTGGTTAATATGGTAGCTACCTTATAGGATTATTAGGAGGATTAACTGAATGTATTTCTAAGAGGCTTTCAGCAATGCCTAGAATATAGTAAGTGCTGTGCTTGTATGTGTTTACTCTTTTTATTTAGAAGTGTAAACTAAGAACGATTAAACCAAGAACTGCTTGTAGCAGTGTATGCTACCAGGTGAAAAGAGCTTGATTTAACATGAAGCTAGTGATAGAAAGCAGAGTGGAGGAAAAAAAAAAAAAAAACAATTGAATAGAGACATCATTTAATGGAGCCTTCTGTGATAGCTTCCCTGTGCCTCTCTGGGTCCACTCTCCACTCTTTTCCGTTCTGTTCTCTGCTCTGTGAGATAGATTCCTTTTCCCTCTGGCTTCTCTCTGGTTCAACAGATGAGAAGCACCAGCAGGAGACTGGAAATTGAAAGGTAGATAAAATTGTCTTTTTCATTTCCTTGGCTCCCCTCCTGCCATGCATTGTCTGTGTCTGTCTACTGAATTCTATCCTGTCAGGCATCATTTAGCTTCCCATGCAATTATTCCAGGTTTCTGTCTAGGTTGAAGTCCTTGCTCCCCCTCCTTTACCATTGGTTGCTTTCCCTAAATCCTGCCCTATACCTTTGTAAACAGGAATTTTATTACATTCTTCTCATATGTTTGCATTTGAAGTTTCCTTCTGCTTCTTTTTGGGACTCTGATAAATTCAACCATTTGGATGCTAGAAACAACAGTCGTTTCCCAAGGTATGTGCAGTGGTACACAGAACATGCTTTATGGGGATAAAAAAAAAAAAGAGTTCTTGATGAGGTATTTGCCACACATAGATTTCTCTCTTGGAGATTCAAAACATACAGCATATTAAAGGTTTTAAAAAAGTCATGGAACAAATTAACATTTTGAACTTCATTTAAGTTAGCGTGTCCTAAATGTACTTGAGTATGTAAATATGTTAACACCAATTAACATCCTAGGGAAATAAGACATTTGGAATATTGTATTTTAGAGCAATTCCTGGTAATATACATGTGGCAACTGACTAGTAAGTGTTAAGTAAACTGCTGATCATACAATGTGTTAGTGGTAATACCTAGTCTAGAACTTCTGATGTCTTTGGGTTCAGTGAGTTTACCATTTTATTATACTGTTCATAAAAAGGAATGTGGATTATGGAAGGTTTGAACGTTGTTAGCCTCATAGAGCCAAATTAACTAGCTTGCTTACTTAGCAATATTTTATAAGATTGAATTCAAAATAGATGTCTTCGTGTTTAGAAGTTGGCCCTGAGAATAGATGAAGGCTTGAATTGACTTAAGCAGGGCCAAAGTTGGATTTCTCAGGGCTAAATTTGGACTTTCCTGAGCCAAACTATATTGCCATTTAATTGGCTCTGCAACTCAATTACACATAACAGTTAACAGAAGGAGAAAAAAGGAATATTCCTATTGCACATTTGCCCCTCATCACACAGCTGGGGTAAGAAAGATAACCCATATACTTCCTAAGAGCCTAATTTATAACTATGTACAGATAGAATCTCAAATTCTTCCCTTAAGAAGATGATAATATCTGTTAAAATAATGAATTGTCTGTCCTTACCTTGTTTTTCTTTTGTATGACACATTGCAAAATGGCCCTAATTTTTTACTCCTCCTTCTATTCAAGGTCCTTTTTAAGGTTCCTTTGAAGTACCCACTCACTCTGATTCTGGAACATATACATTTCCAGAGACCTAGTGTATTTCTACTTGTGCTTCTGCTCTTGACATAAGAACAGGCTTAGTAAGGCCAGACTGCTGGAGGATGAGACACCCACGGAGCATAGCCAGGTTGTCCTGGCCACCCTACTGATTCATGTCTCTATTGACAAAACCAACCAACTTCCAGATATGTGAATGATCATAGCCAGGATTATCAGTCATGTAACCCCTGTCAGATTCTAGATATGAACAAAGAAGGGTTATTATTCCCCTTGGTTTTATAACTGTTTATTATGTAGCTGTATTGTAATAGTAGACTCAAATCAACACTCTGATATGAAATGCCAGCATCAGAAGTGGCAGCTTAATCCAATGTGTCTCACCAGCCCCATCAACTTTTTGGAGACATCTCATAAGCACAGATTTCTAAATTTTTTTGCACTAAAATTTGTTTTTTGCATTTTTATATTTTTTATTTTAAAATATTTCAAATATGGGAAAGTATACAGTTCAACAAGCACACATAGATTTAACAATGTTTTAACATTTTCCCATATAATTCCATGTTTCAAATATCCTTATTTGAACATAGGTACTGTTAGTGTGTTGTGCTGGCCTAGTTATTGACTGTTTTCTCTAATCCTCTGCTGCAGCCTTCCAGACATTAACTCTCCTAGTAACACCCACATTTGGGTGAGTCCTAATTCCTTTATTAAATTTCTCTATTCGTGTAATGCTTGCAATGAGTCTGCTGTTTTGACCAAATATATACCAAAAGACTTGGCTTCCCTAGAAGTGAAGAGTTACTAAGCAATTATACTTGCCAAGCGATTGGCAGTGTCTCCTTAGGAAACAACAGCAGGTGCTTTGGTTCCCATCCTGGCTAACCTCACTTCTTTCAAGATTGGCACTTGGAAAACTACACCTAAGCATTTGTACCTGAGGATAATAACAAGGCGTTTTCTCCACACCTGTACCTGATTTAGCTGCTGATATCCTGAATTTAACCTTTTGTCATATGGGGTGAAAATTTCAGGATACAGAATGAGTGTATTTTTTGCATGTGAGAGGGACAAAAATTGTGGCCAAATGGTGATCCTTGAAAGATAGTTTTCAAAAATAACTCCTAAATAATTCCCCTTCTTTCTTGGACACACAGAAGTATGTGTCCTTGTAGTATCTTCAGAGGATAAAGTCCATTTCCCTTCTCCTTCAATCTGTTATGGCCTTGCAACTTACTTTCTCCTATAAAACACAGTGAAAGTAAAGTATGACAGTTTTCACTTTCACTCTCCTGAGCCATCATAATAGAATTCCAGGCCATCCTGTACAGAGGGACCGTGTGGAGAATTCCTAGTTACAACACATGAAGAGAAAGGCTACATAAGGCAGAAGTGAGATTCCCTAGCCAACAGCACTCTCCTAATTTGGGCTACTATAATGAAAATGTCAGACTGAGTGGCTTAAACAACAGAAATTCATTGCTCACATTTCTGGAGGCTGGAAGGTTAAAAGTCCAAGATCAGGGTGCTAGCATGGTTGGGTGCTTGGTGAGAACTCTTTTCCTTCTTTGCAGACAGCTGTCTTCTTGCTGTGTCCTTACTTGATGGAGAGCTCTGGTTTCTTCATCCTTTTATGAGAGTACTGATTTCATCTCAGGGGCCTCACATCATGGCATCTAGAAACCTAATTACAACCCAAAGATCCCACTTCCAGATACCATCTCAGTGGGGATTAGAACCTAAATAAAGTTGGGGGTAGGAGTCATTCAACCCGTGGAAAGCACTAAAGCCCCAACAGATGAGTGCAGTGTTGAGTTAGCTCAACTTAGTCACGGAGCTCAGCTTAGTTAGTGAATATTGAATACAGCCACACGAGTGACCTCAGGTGGGGACATCATTTGGGCCTGAAGAACCTCTAGTCAGATCCACAGAAACGTGAGAGATTTAAAAGCCATTGTTCTTTGCCATTAAATTTTGAGGTGGTTTGTTATGTTCTAATATATAACTGCTTTGGCAATCTTTTTGATTGTAGAAGAAGATTTAAGAACAAAGCTTAGGAAGAAAAGACCTGTAGAGAGTTGAGGCCTTAAATACCTAACTGCTTTGTTCTCTTTTATCCATGTCTTTATGCATACAATTTCCTTAAACTCTGTGAGTCTTTGTATCAGTTTAGTCCACAGCATTAGATAAAAAGCTACATCTGTAAATCTGGCGATATCATGCTCCTCTACCTTGTGCTGAGAATCAGAAAATGCCCATAAGATTCTCTAGTATAAAAGGCCAAAAGTCTTTACAAAGGGTCTTTAAACCTTTCATGTATCTTAAACCTGGGACCATGTTTTGCTGGTGGCACCTTGGGCTTTTACCTTTGCCCAGAGATCATATAACATGTGAAGAATATTTTGCTGACTGGTGAAATTAGTAAAGAACACTTCAAACTATTCTAGATGTGCTATGAGTTTATAAGAAGATGTTGTATCTATATATTTCACATTCCTCTAGACTTCGTAAAAGCTTTGAAAAATTGTTATATTTTAATATGAATGTAAGTTAAACAAATTTAATATCTATTTATGATTAATGTGATTAATGAAATACATTATAATTACAACAAATATCCATGGATATTTAACAAGCAATGGTTAATTTTAAAATAGAAACAAATAAAAATTTTGGTTGTAATTTTTAAATAAAGGTTACTTATTTATTAGCTGGAGAAATATGTTTATTCTAAATGAAAGTACAGATCCCACCTGGCTCTCTACTGGCAAAAATAAAAATCCAAACAGAATATTTATTGACTCTGGAGCACAAATCACTTAATTTCTTAATCTTATTATCATGGTCAATAGTTTTTTTTTTTTTTTCAAACAAATATATATCTCCAGAAATGCTGCAAATTGAATCTAAATTATTTGGTCAAATTTCTTAATTGTTTATGATTTTTTTCTTTTTTAATTGATAGTATATTTTGGAATTTTATAATCACTCTGAATCTGAGAAATAAATTGCTTTGTTACCTTAATGACTTTTTCAGT